CGCCAGAGCCCAGCAGGTCGAGGCTGCGGTGGCCGGGAGCGGCCACTGCACTCCAGTCTGGATGACAAAGTGAGACTCTAACTCAAAAAATAAATAAATAAATAAAAGGCATAGCTCAACAATATGCAGTCTACAAGAAATGCACTTCAAATACAGTGATATAGGCAGGTTGAAAGTAAAAGGATGGAGTAAAATATACTGTGCAAGCATCAATCAAAGGAAAGCAGGAGATATATATATATGTATGTATATGTATATATAGAAAGAGAGTCAGGATCTCACTCTGTTGCTCAGACTGGTGTGTAGTGGTGTGATAATGATCACAGCTCACCGCAGCCTCAGTTTCCTGAACTCAGGCGGTCCTTCCATCTCAGCATCCTGAGTAGCTGGGACTACAGGTATATACTACCAAGGCCACCTAACTTTTTGTTTTTTATTTTTAGAGATGAGGTTTTGCCATGTTGCCTAGGCTGGTCTCGAACTCCTGGGCTCAAGCAATCTGCCCACTTCAGCCTCCCAAAGTGCTGGGATTATAGGCATGAACCACCAAACCTGGCCAGGAGTGGATATATTAATATGAAGGTCAGCCTCAGAGTAAGGGAAACTGCCAGAGACAGAAGGACATCATATATCGACGAAAGGGTCACTCCACCCAGAAGACGTCGTAGTCATAAACATGCCGGCATCGAACAGTGGGGCTATAAATATGTCAAGGAACAATGCATAGGACTAAAAGAAGAAACAGACAAGTCCACACTGATAGTCGGAGGCATCAACACCGGTCTCCCCACAATCGATAGAACCAACTACCCAGGAAATCAGCAAGGATATAGAACACAACACCACCGTCAACCAACAGGGCCTAACTTACATTTATAGAACTCTGTGCTCAATAACAGGAGAATACACATTCTTTTCAAATGTCCACAGAGTATATGCTGAGATAGTCCATATCTTGAACCATTAACTAAACCTCAGCAAATTTAAAAGAAACACAAATACAGAGTGTGTTCTTTGACCTCACAAAATCGAACAGAAATCAATAACAGCAGGATAACAGAAAAATTTCCAAACACTGGAAACTGAACAACTTTTAAGTATTACTTAGGTTAAAAAAGAAGTCTTATGAGAGGTGAAAAAAAAAATGCTGAGTAAAAATTTTTAAAGTGGCTTGGTGGCTCAGCCTGTAATCCCAGCGATTTGGGAGGCCGAGGTGAGTGAATTACCTGAGCCTGCGGGTTTGAGACCTGCCTGGGCAACTTGGCGAAACCTCTTCTCTACAATAAATCAAAAATTAGCCGGGCGTGGTAGCACGCACCTGTAGTTCCGGCTACTCAGAAGGCTGAGGAAGACGGATCGCCGGAGCCCAGCAGGTAGAGGCTGCGGTGGCCGGGAGCGGCCACTACCCTCCAGTCTGGGCGATGGAGTGAGACTCCAACTCAAAAAAAAAAAAAATTTTTTTTAAAGTATCTAAAAAACCTCCACTACACCTAACATTATATTTAGCGGTGAAAACCGAATACTTTCCCTCTAAGATCAAGAATAAGACAAAGATGAGTGCTCTCACTACTCTTATTCAACATAGTACTGCAGTACCAGGGCAACAAAGTGAGAAAAGGAAATAAAGGGAATTGATACAGACCAGAAAGGAAGAAATAAAACTGTCCCTATTTGTAGATGACATGATGACCTATGAGGAAAATTTCAAAAATCTATTTAAAAAGCTCTTTGAGGCTGGGCTTGGTGGCTCAGCCTGTCAGCTCAGCACGTTGGGAGGCCGAGGTGAATGGATCCTGAGCCAGCGGGTTCGGGACCCACCTGGGCAACTTGGTGAGACTTCGTCTCTACAATAAATCAAAAATTAGCCGGGCGTGGCAGCGCGCGCCTGTAGTTCCGCCTACTTGGAAGGCTGAGGCGGAAGGATCACCAGAGCCCAGCAGGTCGAGGCTGCAGTGACCGGGAGTGGCCACTGCACTCCAGTCTGGGTGACAGAGTGAGACTCCAACACACACACAAAAAAATTATCTACAAAAATTTTTTTTTTTTTGTAAATATGAACAAGTCTATTGGGCACAGTGGCTCACGCCTACAATCCCAGCACTTTTGGAGGCCAAGGAAGGAGGATTGCTTGAGGCTAGGACTTTGAGACCAGCTTGAGAAAAGTCTTGAGACCCTGTCTCTACAAAAAAGAAAAAAAAAAGTAATAAGGAAGTCTGTTCTCAAACTTATGTGGAAAGCCCCAGGGACTAGAAGAGCTAAAACGAAATTGAAAAAGAAATAGCCGGGCTTGGTGGTTCAGCCTGTAATCCCGCGCTTTGGGAGGCTGAGGTGAGTGGATTGTCTGAGCCC